AGCTGATTCTCACTTAAGAGAGCTGGGAGATAGCACTTCTAATGGGGAAGGAAGCCAAATGTTAATATGGATGGATGAACAATGGAATTACATTTAAGTAATTCACATGATAAAGCAGTTTGTTTCCATAAAGAAAAGATTAACCTCCATATGGGAACCTTATCTGACCATACATTGGTTGAGGACAGAAGAGCACTACAGCCAAGCCCAACACCACGCATGAGCCTGAGAAACACAATGTAGAGATTCACACCTGACCCCAGACCCACGAGGAGCCCAGCAGAGATCAGAAACGCTCCCCCACACATGATTCCCTTTGATTGTAAAGGTATTATGATATGTCATTTGACAAGGACCGCCTGTTATACTGCAATAGCTGACTGACACAATAACCCAAGCGAACGGACCTTAGACACTTAGAAGATATGCTGATTTTTATTTGTGGCAAATGATCTGACGTTGAGGAGAGCACTCATGATCGTTCTGTGATTCAAGTTTATTTCCCACAACGTTACGAACAAGTGGGCTCCCTTCTGGGTAACTGGGAGAGTTTGAAGGACATGCACGTTTGTGCAGAACAACTGGGGACCCTGAGCCACATGCCAGCAGGACATCCAGCTCTCGTGTGAAGCATCCTCTGGTCGTGCAGGTGGGAGAGATCTTAGAGAGGGACTGAGGCACGAAATGGGTGGGGCTGATACTGTTCATTTGCCATCATTTGTGACAAATACGGGGAAAAGGAACCTATTTCCTGCGACGGTAGGAAGACTCATGATAGTAGGTAGCGTTGCAAAGCTTTCAGAAGAAACGGGAAGCGAATTCGGAGATAAAACAGAAGACACTAAGCAACCCCTTACCTCAGTGAACAAACCACCTCAGCTGCGGACAAAAGCCTCCATGCTTCAATAAACAGAGGCAGCGCATGAAAAAGAAATATTTTGCATGGGAACACAATGGGTGTTTTGCTTCCTCAGGTTTATGGTTTCCTCTGACACCAAGAACATATTAGATCAATCTGTTTATTCCAATTTGTCTTTCCATGTTGACTCCAGGGGAGGTACACATTTCATTTGCTCATCAGTTTTTGCCAGTGGCTATAATAGGCCTCTGGACGCCAGGTTGAATTAACAGAAAAACAACAACAACAACAACAACAGAGTCCAGTTATGAGACACAGAAGCGTGTTTGTACAGTAATTGCCTGACATTAGGCTTTTCACTTCTGAGGCACCCATTTCAAAGATCACCATTCATATTAACACATTGCCAGGCGTGTGATTCAGTTACTATACAAAGATGCAGGCCCCCCCCCCCAAATTCCCCCTTTAGAAAGCCCTGGTAATCTAGGTAACAACTGTGAGTGACCCCGCTTTTCCCGTTCAGTGCCCACATTCCGTTACTGGGCTTTTTGTCTGGTTTTTGCTGTTGTTATTTTTGAGTACTGGGGGATAATATTTTATTCTTTTTCTTTAACTGTTTACATGAGTGTAGTTGACACGCGATGTTACCTTAGTTTCAGGTCTGCAATACAGTGATTCAACTTCTCTGTACATTATGCGGGGCTCACACAGGTGGACTGACACCTGTCCCATTACCGCTAGTACATCATCGATGACTATGTTCCATACACTGTGTCTTCCATTCTCATTATTGATCATTCCATAACTCCGTCCCGCCTCTCCTTGGCCCATTCGGCCCATCCTCCAACTCCACTCATGTTTTAAATTCATCCATAAAAACTGAGCCCAGAAAAACATAGTCACTCCCCCCATGGATCCCCCAAGAGCCAGATCCTTCATAGTGTTCTCTCTCCCTCCCTGTCAAAGTCCCTCTCCCTCTCTGAAAACTCCCCAAATGGCCTTTGGGCATCCCGTGTGCCCTCCAACACACATGAGAAATAAACCTTGTGTTTTTAGAGTCCTCCAGTGGGTGTTGCTGAGGTGTGTCTTGTGACCAAAATAAGAACCCAAAGGCCAGGGCAGTCACAGCATAGGCTCTGGTCAGGGAAACACTTGTGGTAATGTCCACAAGCACAAGGGCATATGCAAATGCCTGGCCTTTCCTACCTAAGTATTGGTGTCAATAGCCTGAGGCTTAAATGGACCCCTGCTAGAGTCCACATCATCAAAGAGTTCTTAAGGAAGGGACTTAAAAGAGATTGACAGGCTCCAGGTGTAAGCAGTGGTTTTGTATTTTCATCTACAAGACAATTATGTAGAGGGCCTAGGGGCCAAGTGTAGTGTTTTTCCACGTGAATAACCCACCTTGGAATTATTCTTTGGGGAAAATTAGGGGAAATTTATGTGGCATGGTAGAAATCATGGTATACATTCATTTCAGTTTGAAATGAAATTATTTTTAAGGAGACCAACTTGCCAATTGTAAGGTAAAGATTTTTCCTGGCATTTGTGATCCAACAATTGGGAAAACACTGGGAACGTATGAAAGTGGAGAAAGATGAAATGATATATCAGACAGAGCAGAAGCTTGATGAAGTGAGTTACCTCAGTGTATAGAGAAGTTGAATTCAAACAAACGGAAATGCCAGGAAATAAATAGATGGAGCAGATTCTACTTCCCCAGTCTGATCAAAGATTAGAAGTTCCCGGCTCTGAGGCTCTGAGCCCTGCAATCATGGGCATGTCTTTGGCCTCAGGACGATTGTCCCATGCATTGCTGGAATGCCAACGATTCTTTTCAGAGCCCTCTTTATGTCTCTGTTCCTCAGGCTGTAGATGAAGGGGTTCAGCATGGGCGTGACCACCGTGTACATCACCGAGGCTGTGGCACTTGAGAGGGAGCTCTGGGTAGCAGCAGAGCTGAGGTACACTCCTAGGCTGGTACAATAAAATAAGGAGACAACCGATAGGTGAGACGCACAGGTGGAGAATGCCTTATACTTGCCCAGAGCTGATGCGATCCCACGTATGGAGGAAACTATCTTAGAATAAGAGTAAAGGACCCCAGCCAGGGGAGCACCACCCAGCAGCACAGCTGCAAGATCCATCACCAAGTTATTAATAAAGGTGTCAGAACAAGCCAGTTGGATCATCTGATTGAGTTCACAGAAAAAGTGGGGGATTTCTACCTCTGTACAGAAGGACAGCTGCAACACCATTGAAGTTTGTAACAAGGAATGCAGGATACTCGTGATCCAGGACACCAGGACCAGCAGCCCACAGAGCCGGGGCTTCATGATGACCATATAGTTCAGGGGGTAACAGATGGCCACAAACCTGTCATAAGCCATCACAGACAGTAGAACGTTGTCCAATCCAGCAAAGACAAGGAAAAAGTACATCTGAGTGATGCAGCCTTCATAGGTTATGACTTTGGTCTGGGTCTGGATGTTCCAGAGCATCTTCGGGACGGTGGTGGAGGGGAAGCAGATGTCTACAAAGGACAGGTTGGCCAGGAAGAAGTACATGGGGGTGTGGAGGCGGGAGTCAGAGCTGACGGCTAGGATGATGAGCAGGTTGCCAAACACAGTGATCAGGTACATGGAGAGGAAAAGCCCAAATGTGAGGGGCTGCAGCTCTGGTCCCTTTGAAAATCCCAGAAGGTTAAACTCTGAAATTTGTGTATCATTTCCTGTTTCCATATGCTGGAGATGACTACCGGGGAACAAAGAAATAACATGACTAATTTTCTCAAAATGAACATTGCAAATACCGTTGAAATTCTACAATTCTTATTTTGCATTCAAAAGATCAATTTCTATAGTTTTTTATAGAAATTTCCCCTCTCAGGGAAAAATCTCAGGGGAAAAATCCCTCCCCAAGCCAGCTCTAACTAGGGCTTCACATCCCCCAGTTAGCTTTTTCCCCAACTACTCATCTATTATATATTTTTAATGAGGAATTCTGAAAGCTGTCATGCGTTTGAGGAATAACTTTGAACACTCACTAACCTCCAGGTAAAGAGTATAACTGTCAAGAAACAAAAGCCTGGAGGGTTCAGTGATGGAGAAAGGGGATAAGCAAATAAAGACCAGATAAAATATCAGGAGGTGACAGGTGCCTTGAAGAAAAACAAAGCCAGTGTAAAGGGAAGCGTGGATGAGGGATGGCTCTTCCCGGTTGTTTGGGCACACCGGCACACATGTAAACAGAGCCCTCGAGGAGACAGGAGACACAAGGTCCTCTGGGGAAGAGCGTGCCCGTCGGAGGGAACTATGAGTGCGACGGCTCTGAGGAAAGACGTGGGTTTTTCTAAATTAAGTTTTTAAAGCATGAGGGTGGTCGACACACCAGGTCACGTTAGTTTGG